ATTTACTGTTCTGAAACCAAAAAACTGTGTTCTTTGGACAACTCACAGTCCAATTTTTGAGACACAGAAAGTAACAATTTCTATTCCTGTGGATAAACAGCAGATGAAGATAAAAAAAATCTCAAAATCAGTTATTTCTCTCTTGCTGCCTGTTTCTGTTTACATTGTATTTACTGCCACTATGCTAAGATTTACAAATTGAAAATCACTTTTCTCATGGTTCCTTTGGGCGCAGTTGTATATTTAAGTGTACCCATCACAAAATGATTCTAAGAGTGATGAACACTATATTCTCCTTTGACTTTGGTTGAATTCCTGACCCCAAGAATGTTCTCTGCTCAGTGCCTGATAGTGAGTATATGTATTTTTCAGGTGCTTGTCTTCATGACATGGCAGGTTCTTAGGAGACTGTACACTGAAAGGTGGTTTTTTTCCTTTTTTAACCATCTAAGTTCATTTAATTAAATTCCTTAGGACAGCAAAACACTTATATATATATTGTAAACATAAATCATTAATTTCTGACCTTACTGTTGTGAGAAACCAGAATGGTGAATGATAATGAAAAGAATAATTATATTCCAGCTATAACACTTTGATTCCATTCTTTTTACAACAGTTTGCATATGACTTGGTTCCCCTTTGGTGAAGGAAGAAGCCTTATTAGACAAAAGTACTGTGGGTAGACTCTTCTACTCTGAAATAAATAATTGTTTGCTTTTTAAACAGTTATAAATATGTCATATCGACTATTTAATTTAAATATAATATTTGGATAAATATACAGTATTTGAATAAGTATTTATTTCAATACTTAAATGATGTTTTGCAATTCATTAGACTTTCAAAATTGCTGTGTTGGTGTAACTCTCTCCCATTCAAGTCAAAGGCAACATTTCCCAAGCAAAAGTGTTGGTGGACTATTTTGAAAATCCCTTTCCTAACTACTGTAAATGGTATGCATCATATGCTAATCTCATAGTTGCTTTATTTATAGTTTAAAAATCAGAACAAAAAAGACTTCTCTAACAGAAAAGAAATAAAAAAATACAAACCAAAATATTTTAAAGCGATAGTAATCCTTCTCCCTTGAATGAAACAGTACTTTGCCCTTGTTCCTAATTTTATACAGTCTAAGTATTAACAGAGCTATAGTAGTATCTGATATATTACACCTATGTGTGTGTGCATATGTACTCAAACACACAAATTTTGACGGACGACAAACGCTGCGGTGCTTTCTATTAGCCCTCCTTTTGGCTTTTGCTGCAGACGTGTAGTACGGAATAACAGCTCTGCAGCAGTCTGGGTGAAGAAAGCAAGCCGGCAGCTTCCAGGTTTATCCACAGGAGATGAGAAAACCGGTGCTTTAGGAGGATTCCATTTAGCAAGGCCACTGTAATTAACACCCATCATCTTCTGAAGAGTGCCACCGGCCCGTAAGGACTGGTCCAGTGTTTCGTGCCTCTTCCCAGCCCCGCAGCGGAGCAGCCTTGACGGGATGCCGGAGCAGCGGCCAGTGGTGGCCGCAGGGGACCGGTGACATCTGGGACATCCCCGGCCGGCCGGGATGCTCCCCGCATCGCCGCCCTCCTGCCTGCTGGGGGTCTGCCGGCTCCGCGCCTCAGCTTGGCTTCGGAGGGCGCGCGGGAATGTCTGCAAGGTGTTTTTTATTACAAAAAGTAGAGGCAAAACCAGCTTGCTGCTTGGCCTAGATTCCTTTTTATCCTGGATAGAGGATTTCAGTATCCTTTTAACAGGCTCGCACATTTACGCTAATCCGGAAAACCTGGATGTCTTCACCTGCTGGGTGGGAATAGTTTTCTCATGGGCGTTTTAGATATTTCCTTGGAGCTCTTCTGATCGGTGGGAAATGCTGTAGGCTTTCCTTTCAGACATCAAGGCTAAGCTAAACACCAGTGAAATAACCCCTGTTGGTCTGGGGGAGCTTTGGGTCAGGGCTTTGCTGGGTTGCACTGAAATTATTAGAAAAGTATTATTGAAATTTTAAATTTTAAGATGTATGCTCTTTTTTTGTATTCTCTGAAGACTTGGATTTAAGAAAACAGATGTTATTGCCACTAGTTCTGACTCAATTTTCTTGATTTTAACTTTTATTATGCACGGAACGATACCTGTCAGAAAACCTTCAGCTGCTCTCGATGTAAGGCCTGATTCTGCTTTTTCTTGAGAGCATTTTCAACTTGGTGCTTGCCTTGGCTGGGTGGACTAAAAATGGGGGAGATCCATAGCGGAGGGAAAAATGTTTTACTACATACTGTGCGGAGCACTGCAAAATGTGTGTTCTTCAGTAGACTCATCCTGAAGTACATTCATAGCAAAGCATGCCAAAGATGAGAAAAAACACACAACCCTTTCCAGATTAAAGATACGGCTCAGAGTGACACATGTAAATGGGATGAGAAAGTTTAACAGAACCAGGCGGGCTAAAGTTCATGGCGACAGAGAGTTTATTGGAAAGCTGAAATGTATGGAAAAAGACAAAATTATGTGCACAATAGCCCTTCTTCAGAGCTAGCATGTACATAACACATTGGATCTGGAACACATTTCCCTCTCCATATAAAAAACATCAGGAGAGACTTCATGGGGATGAAAAGGTATCTCTGTACCTGAGATTATTGCAATTCAGAGGATAAAGCTCACCAGACAGTGGGGGGATCTTAAGATCTCAGCTGATTTACAGTTTAAGTTGAGGACTCAAAGGTGAGACCTGGATCTGAGCTTCCAGCTTTTCCAGCTTCCCAGTTTAGGGGAAGCTCATAACAGAGTAGCTAAGAGGATAAATGCACAAACCCCAGTGTTTGTGAGGTGCTCTCACCTTTGTTGTTGCAAGCTTAATAACTACCTTTTTAGAAGGACGGTCCCAAACTCTTCTAGTGCAAAGTTACTGGCAACATTTCTGTCTGCTACCAGTTTTTTTCCAACCTCCAGAATGGTGCAGCTCCAGTAAAGCCAGGCAGTCGGCTTCTGCAGCAGCCCATGGTGCTAGGCTAAGCCCAGTGCTCTGAGGACTCTTCATACGGCAGGAGTAGGAAGATTTTTTTGGTTATGTGTAGGTAAGAGCACTCTAATCAGAGCCTATAAAGCTTATGATGGAGGTCTTATGGCTTGCTCCATCATCTGTGTCCCTTGGAGTATTCTGAGAGCAGGATACTGCTCAGCCCTGGTTCATTTTGTCCATCTTGCCTTTAACGTGTCTGAGTTGACATCATCATCTCTGCCTGCCCTGGTGGCAGGAGATGCTGGGGCTCAGCTAGAGTAGCCTGGGCTGTCCTGAGTGATAACTGAGGCAGAGAGTCAGCCAGTCAAGGCATCAAGTGCTGGAACCTACTTGCACTGCAGGTGAAGCCATCCTGGTACACGCGCCTTGAACAAACCCTCTGAAGCACACAGCATCTTGGTATTTCCTTCCAGGAGTACCAACTGTTTTGTTCTAGAGCCCGCAAGAGAGGAGGGCCGGTCAGCATGAACTTGGTCCTAGCTGTCACCTGAAGGTTGTGGACGCGCTGGTTTAGATACGCTCTGTGTGGCTGTGCAGCAGTGAAGCAAGAATTCAGAGAAGGCAAGGGTATGGAAATCCTGACAGCCTCCAGGATCACTGACAAAGTCCCAATGTGGTCAAAATGTTGCCCGTTTTGTCTTGACACCATTTATACCTCTGTAATTTGGGGCTAAATCCATCAGACAGGAGAGTTGTAAAATTGGCCTGACAGTGGAATTGGGCTCAAATGTGCGGTAACTATACTACAGAAGGAGCAATGCTCTGGAATGAATTAAACTTACTGACTTCAGTGACATTTTGTAGTGTATCCTTCTAATTACTCTGTCTACAGCACATTGTGAATTTTCAAGAGCTAGAAATTGAGTCTAAAAGACCAAAATATATATATATATATAGAAAATTTGAGTGGTATTTTTCATTCCTGAAATATATAACTTCTGTGACTAATGGTTTTATTATATTTTTCAGGTGTTGTTGCTAGTAAGAAAAATGGTTAACTTTTAAAACACTAATTTTTTTAGCACATTAATGGTACAGGTGGACAGCTGAGGTACAGCCTCTGAGTAGTCATGCTTGTTTTTGAATAGCATAAATATATAGGGATCCAATCTAATACTATGTATAAGAGAAGCAAATTATATAACTACTAAATTGCATGTCAAAGGCCTTTCTTTTTGGTGCAATAAGTATCTTTCCACTGTTACCAGAAGGAGTAGGTGTTATTAACTGCCAACAATGCCAGTATTTTCCAAGTTCATATGTCTAACAAAGGAAGAGAAGAGGTTTCTGGATGTGAGTCTGAATTTATGTTTCAGCTGCAGCAAATGCTCTTAATAGTTTATGCTGTGCTGTGAAGCTTGACACTGGTTTGCAGAGTTTGAATCTCAACTCTGTGTATAACCGTGGCAGTGGAGGTTGAAGGTGAAGAAATGGTAATATGGTACTTGAAGTAAAGTGGCTTTGCTAACAGACCAGTGCACATTGTCTATTTATACAGGAATAGTGGTTAAACCTCTGCTGAGTTTACCCCAAAGCTTGATAAAATAGTTTCTCGCTTGGGAAGCCATGTGCCCGTCTAATCTTTAGGCTGGTCAGTGAGGAGAAGATTTAACTTTCTGTAGTTTAGAGTAGTGCTTTTGACATTGTCTCTGTGATCCAGTGGCATGGTGTTAAATGGTATTAGGACCTAGATTCAATAACACAGAAAATAGGATGGCGTATAAACAAGTGAGGCAATTGCCTTGTACAGTAAGAAATACTGAAAATATTTCTTGTAATCTAACCGTGGCTTGGCATGACCTTGCTCTGACACTGTGACTCAATGACACAATCTTATCCTCAGGAGAAGTGGATTTTTAAAGCCTATTATTAACTTCCTATGGGTCAAACAAACAACTGGAGAAGAAATGGGGTCATTTGTGGTTGTTTATTTCTTTCTCTTCCTGACACTTCTCTGCCTCCTGATTCTTCCTAGTGCCTGGAGCCCTGCAAAGAGTCCTGGGACCTGAAGAAAAACCATTGCCAAAGCTTCTGTGAGGTAAGTCAGCCCAAGGGCACTCTTTCTCACTTTGTTCTAGCTGTCTCTTTCATTTAAATTATTAGCTTCAAGGAGACAGCTAACAAACATGGGCTTTTTACAGCATTTGCTTTCATTTGTATGGGTACACATATAACAATTTAGACTTTTTAAGTCTTAGTTTAAAAAAAATTTTTTTTTTTTTCCTGACCAAATGGTTTATCTCAACTTGAAGTTTTAAGACTTGATCCAGCCACTCTTACCTAACTTCTCTCAGAAGGTGCCGTTAAATCCCTCCTGCAAGATGCTATTTCTACCACATGCCCTTCTATCTTTTCTGGCCATGTGTAAGAAAGAGTATCTTTGTTGAAAAGATAAAATGTCATTGTGTGAAAATCCTTGTGCTGGGTAGCTAGAAAAGATGGCTTTCCTGTATGTGAAAGTCAATCTGATTTCTAAAAGAATATCTCTCCAGGACTGTGGACTCCTAGTTCAGAAGACTACTATCAAAATACATAATTATTCAGGAACAAGTCTTTGGAAAACTGTTTCTGAATCATGTTTCAGAATAACCTGGTGAATAAGCAAACCTAGATGAGTTAAACTAGTACAAAAAAGGAGATGGTCTTACTGGATTTAAAACATGGCTCTGCTCAGTTGGTGGAAATGTGGTTTTTAGTACAAAATGGAAATATCATCTCAATAGAAAGCTGCTTTATTAGAACTAAATCAATATAAAGATACAACTTTATTGAAGTCTATGAAAGTGTATGTTTATGAAGATTTTCAGCTTTTCCTATAAAAAAATAGAAATGACCTTAAGTGATGAATTGATCTCAGTGATATACTGATTTAACTCCTCCCTCATCGCTGTGGGCACTCTTTTTTCTGGTACAAGAGCATGTCTTATGTTTAAATGATTTTAGCATCATGAAGAAGAGCAGGAAAAGCTATAATTTCAACTAAAAAAATACTTAGATCCAACTATGTGTAAATAGGGTTTACTGGATTACTGATATATGTAGTTACATTAGAAGACAAAAGAAAAATTTCTCATGAAAACCAATCCTTGTAAGAGTTCTTTAACCCAGATTAATTGCTGCTTCCTCATATAAAGAACTCTAGGGTAGTGTAATAAACCAGTTTTAGTGGATCTAATTTATGTCATTCTCGTATATCACTTCTCACTCAGGCTGTATGTTTCCAGATATGGGTGAAAATACGTATAAAATTGGTTTAAAAGGAAAACATTTGTAGAACACTGTTCTATTGTAGTTAAAAACAGTGAGCATCCCTCTTTGATTAGTGTTTTGTGGTTGAAGCTAAATTTAGAACTTCAAAGGCCTGTAATGAAGAGCAGCACATTTAGCAGCTAACTGAAAAATGAGCTGTGAAATAGGGTGAGGAGGAGAAACCTCGAGGACGTATTATGCCTCAGGGAGCTATAAAGTTTTTAATTAAGTAGCTGCAAATTTGTGATGTTTTAGGATTTGAAATTAGCTTCACACACACACACACAAAAGTAGGGGACTACTTTCCTTTCTCTCAGACTCATGTACGCTCCATAGACATTGTTTGATTGAATTAAACAAGGCTGTTTTCCTTGGAGAGTGTTTTTAATCTTTTTGTGTTTTGTGAAAAATCTGGAGCTTTGTGATTCTCAAGGTCCCTGCTTCGTGTGTTACTTCTTATCTACTCAATGAGTGCACTAATGTTAAAGGAACCTTACATGTGAAGAAGAAAAGGAGAGAGTTTACCTGACTCCTTTTTTTCCATACATTCAGTTTCCTGCTGGTTTAGCTTCTTAACTGGCTAACCATGGGATCAGGTGCATTCCAATGGGGAGAACAGCAGGAGTGTGGTCCAAGGATCGCTGGGGTCAGTAGGAGGTGTAAGGACCGCTCATTTTGGCAGCCTTTAGGCTGGTTAAGCCGTAACACCTAAATGCATCCTTAAAAATCTGATTCAAAAATTCTGGACTGTTCTGTAGGACAAGATAGCAGAGGTAACGTAGTGGCACGTTCTTGGACCACAGTGACTTTGGAGAATAAACTGACATATAGTCTGTGAAACACTTGGGCCTCCATAATAGGGGAGTCTTTCCCATTTTACCAAAAACAGGAAAACAGTAAAAATAAGAAAGTAGAACGTTTGAATATGGAAGGAAGTTGCAGAAATTACATGACTAGCTGGATGGAGACTGGGTTATAATTTCTGGGTAGGCTTAGGAATGTGTAAATCAGATCTGTCAGAGCGGAAGGTTTTTGGTTGCTCTGAGGTAGAAAGACAGGCTACAGATAACCCCAGTTACATGGGTTGCCCATCTACAGTTCCACCAATCACTTGGAGGGAATCACTTTAGCTGTTTTTGCACCGAACTAAATAAAACACCAGATAAAAGAGGAGATGAAGTCCCCATGTCACACACAATGTTCTCCCCAGGGTGCTAGATGATATTTTTAATGGAGTTTTAAGTGAACCTTGTAAACTTCTGAGTAGTACACATGATATAAAATGTCTATGCGTTGAAGCAACCTCTCATATATCTAGGACTTGATTTCTCAAAGAAGTAGCATCTACTTTGATCTTCAATCAGTATATTTAAGGCTTATTTTAATCTGTATTTTCTGCTGATAATTTTATCAGAAATTTAGTTCCAGTTCCATGAAGAGTTACACAATTACTAATATGCTGGCAAGAACATAAAGATGCTACAAAATCTCCTCTTCGCCAGCTCAGTTCAAACAGTATAACGAGACAAGATTTCAGTTATTTATCTAGAGTGGCATTACATCAGATATTGTGGGTAAAGTGTTATGAAGTACAAAGAGAGGAATGTGGGGTAGTCCAAAAAGAAGACTGTCTGACCATTGCTTCCCCTTTGTTTTGGGAATGTTTTTAATCTGTCATTGAGCAACTTTGTAGCCAGCCAATGTGAGGAAAACAAGGGGCAGCTGGCAGATATAAACAACTTTATTCCATTAAAGATGGTGGTCTTACTTGAGGGAATTCATCATTCTGTACTTGGAATGCTTTTTTAGAAGTGGCTTGAATATATAAATCTGCAGGGACAGTCTTGCAAAAGCTGAAAATCTGAATTTTCCTTTAGGAGGTCTTGGAAAATTTACAACATTTTTTCTTTTTTTATTTTCTTTTTTTTTTTTCCCCCTGTTGAAAACTTTATACAATTCTTTTGTTTTCCCTTTAGCCTCTCTTCCCCAAGAAGAATTATGAATGCCTAACTAGCTGTGAATTCCTTAAGTACATCCTGTCTGTGAAGCAAGGGGACTGCCCAGCACCTGAGAAGGCCAGTGGTTTTGCAGCTGCCTGTGTTGAAAGCTGTGAAGCTGATAGTGAATGTTCTGGAGTGAAGAAATGCTGTTCCAATGGATGTGGTCATACATGCCAAGTTCCAAAAAATCTGTACAAAGGTAGAGATTATTAATATATACTCACCCTGGGCTAATAACCTCAGGCCATAATAAAGTCTCCTAGAAAATCAGGACTTTCTTTTCATAGGAGTTTGTATGGATGGGAAGAAAAAGGAGAGGTGCCTGTAGACATGTGGCTGGACACTGAAAGGGTGGAAAGTCAGAGAAAAATGTTGCTCAAGTTTCTGATTTTTTCCCCTTTTGAAGCCCATGTCTGGAAATCTGTGGAATGTAAACATGTGGCTATTATGAATCATCTTAAGAAGAACAAACTTGCCAATTTAGGTGAAATCTCACTTAATTTGATGCAGATGAGAGAGAATGCAGCAGGAAAATACTTAACAATAAATAGTTCAAGTCCAATTAATCACAAATAACATTTATGTTTATAAGCCAAGCAGGTAGGACTACCAAATAGGAAGCGTGAGGTAGTCTGGTAAAAGAACAAATCAATGCATTATATTTGACATTGATGTTCTTAATGTCTTATTAAAAAATGTTTAATTGTTTTGTGTCCTGAGATTCTGTGAAAAAAGGTTTCCCATGACATCCATAGACAAGAACATATAGCCTAGAAATTATTTGCTTAGACAAACTCCAGATTTTAATTTGTTGGCATTAAAAAAAGCTTTATACACGGAAATATTCTGAAAATGTACTCATAACACAGAACAATGAGCATTTATGAAAGGCATTTTTATGTTCCACAGAGCTGGAATGTTTTGTTTGAAATCCGTTCTCCTTACTTCAGTGATAAAAAACCAAATATTAATCAGTTATTCTTCTGATAGCATGGGCTCTCTGTGGAGAGCCTAATCAGCAGAACTCTGAACTAAGGTCCAGGCTTAGGTCTGAATCCAGACTTATTTCCATCTGTGGATGGAAAAATGGTAAAATATGTGAAGGAGATGGTGATTTTATTTTTAAGATTATTGCTTTAACTGATATGTTGATGCATCTTTTTGAATGTCCCTAGTGATGAGAATGTATGTCAGAAAGAACGTGCTTTTGAATCCTGTCTTTGAGTGTACAGGATGGGCCATCAGGAAGCACTGTCTTATTTACTGACATAAATGGAGAAAATTTGATCTAGAAGTCATAGAGGTTGAGTAAGCATAGAACTGATGAAGATAGTAGTCAAAGTATTTTGAAGAGCAGGCAGTACTGTCATCCAGCTTTCCAGTGCAGAAGGGAAATTCTCTTGCTTCCAAGATACTTCAAAGCAGCCCCTTTAAAACGATAAGGAATTAATATACTCTTATACACAGCACCTTTCAAAATGAAAATTAATAAAATGGATCCCTTAGTTATTTCTTTCGTCTTCTTGAGACAAATGACCAAAGTGATGAACTGGCATTCGCAGTGTATATGTCATGATTTACATGATCAGGCTCCATACCACAACTACAAAGCATTCCAGTAACTGTAGCAGCTGGAAAAGGTAAAAACAAAACAAGCAAAGAAACAAACAAATGAAACAAGATGACGTGCTTTTGGAGAGGACACAGGATATGACACATTGTATATCTGCACACTGGAAAGTCTACTACTGTTCAGCCTAATTATATAGGAACAGAACTAACCTTCTCTAACGTCTTATCACCTATCTGCAGGAGGTGCTTGCTTGTAAGATCATCTATGTCTAGCAGAGGAAGGGCAAGCCCAATACCGTACGATGAATTCAGCTAATTAGCCTCTTCAACCTGTCTTTTTGCAACAAAGGACAAATAGAAGCGGAGCAGGCTTGCTATTCATTTCCTCCAGGGGTACATGACCTTCCTGTCACTAAGGAAGAGCAAACTCTGCAAGCATGACTGAGGTCTAGTGAATAAGTTTAGTACTTATCATTTTGACAGCACTCACAGCTAGAAAATGAACTCAGATTGAATCTAAGAGTCTAGAGAAGTTCCTGTTGATCAAGCTCTGGAGATTAGTTACAACAGCAGATATAAAATACCCATCTGATTTGCTGTATTTACAAACTGGATTTGCCCTCTAGTAGAGTGCTAAAGCCCAATCCTAAAAGAATATTAATGTAAGTACACTGCCACCAAAGTCATATGTTGCAAATGTGGTTCGATTAACGTAACAAGTCCAGTTACTTGTTATCCTAATTGTTTATTGGCTTGCATTTTCTATAATCTTCAAACTGTCTATTATCATTGTATTTTTTCATCTCTGTTGAGAGTGTTACTAATCAGTTACACAGTCTTCACATTTTTATTTCCCTTTACTGGAGATATCAAATGTTCTCTCCTACTCTTCTTTCATCTGCCTCATCCACCTCCTTTACGTTGTCTCAACTAGTGAAGGACTTCAGAAAGTGTCCCTTCTCCGTGGCTTATATAATTTTTTTTTCTATATGGAGATAATGATGTTATAAATAACAGTAAGTGCCTAAGGTAGATTTGGTATTTTAGAGTTGGGGGTGATATCTCTGTTTAGAAATAAAACAGTTTAAAAATGCAGAAGAAGACGGAAGGAAGAGAAAGGGACGGAAGAAGCGTGATCAGGTTCACTTTGTCTAATGTGCATGATGAATCCCCAAACAAGGACAAGGACATGTATCTTTTTCTACACTCAGCTGATGACAGCTGAAAAAATTACCTTTTCCCTGTTCAGAAGTTAGTGGTCTCTCAGATGTGATGATACACCTACTTGTGTGAACTTTCCAGGACCTCTTTTTAACAAAGATTTAGGGTTCATGCTGTCTAAACCAGCCTAACTAGTTTTGTCTGAAACGTGTAAGGGAGCAATCCATACAGCAGAACAAACTGCAGATCTGGGCAAGGTAAATTGTGAAGATTGTGACATTTAAAGGGTATGATGGTACCACAATATTATAATAGGATAGCTGGGGCCGGGTAGTCACCCACAGTTTAAAGACTCTTTCCATGCTTAAAGAAAAATAGTTTTGTATTAAAAAAATAGTGTGCAGTTTTAAAAGCGCACATCTCTGAGTCTTTGAACAACTGTGTTTACAGTTGTACTAATGGCCTGAATGTACCCTTTACTGTCTGAAACCCTGCCATGAAAACTTTCTGAACTCCTGGGGAACTGACATATAAGATACAGATTCTTATGATGGACCGGTGTGCATTTATTTTCCATGGCACAGAGATGCATGTGCTGTTTGAAAGACACCTTTAGAAACATTTTTCCTGGGCTCTGCTATCGCACACATACAGCAATCAGTGATCTGAATTCTTCAGTTAAGCACTGCAGACATCAGAGGACTAATTTGTTCCAGCACGATGAAAGGGCTGACCATTTACATAATAAAAAGCACATTGAAGAGTAATTGGATCTACACATCTGGATATTAAATTGGTGGTGCTGGTTCTACAGAAGTATTTTAAAATGCACTTGTGCTGTGCCCTCGTTGTTTGTGCTGCTGCGCTCCATCTGCACGCAATTACGTAACGCCGGAGAGGCTGAGATCCTTGCAATCAAGTGAATCCAACTGCCCCTAATGCAAAGCAGATGGAAGTTTTCTTAACATGCAAATTGTAGGATTATTGTACATCATAATTAAAGACGGATTTTCAAACGTGGAAATCCGAACTGACATGTTCTGTGATGTTCGTTGTATTAGACTAAGACTGCAGGCTGTTGAAGGATATCCAGGGCTTAAACTGCTGTGATAACCAGATTTAAGTACTGAATTTTCCTCAGGTTGATTTTAGGTTTCTTCAAGGGCTACAAGATCAATTTTTATTTACTTATAGATAATTGTATGATCAGATTTAGGAGAACACCTCTTAAAATATAAAAGCGGTTTGTTCGCCTAAGGAAATTTTGCTACTCAGTCATCTGTGGCAGACTGAGTAGGAAACAATTTATCGAACCGACACACACAGCTCGACTTACGTGGACACCCACTGAAATGGCAAAATAACTAAAGTGCATTTGATAACTTGCTAAGAAGGTTTATATGTCAGCATAGAAATCTTATTTGTGACATATCATGAAGTGACAAAATGCCGCACACTCAAATATGTGAGTTCCTAAAGTCTGTCTAGAGAAATGTATCTAACACTTGATTTAATCAAAAGATGCCAAATTTGAAGAGTTGTTTTCTTCCTCCAAGCTACTGCAGGTGTTTTCAAAAAGGTGATGTTACCAGCAGTAGAAACAACAGAAATAACCGTCCTTCAGTGTCACTGTGTAATGAGAAAGTGCTGTACAATTTTAGAAGGACATCTTTGTCTCTGAAATGTAACAATTGGACAATATATATTAGGTATATCTATTCCAAGATGCTTTGGAATTACCTTGCCTAGTTTTTTAGGGAAGAGTGGAGAGTGACACATCATACAATGCAGTTGCATGTGGGTCAGTAAGATCATGGTACCACGGAGAAGGCAAACAGCTTTAAGTATATCAGACTAATGTAAGACGCGTGAAACAATCCTGCTTCTCAAGTCAGTGCTGGTGAGAGCTTAGACACAGTCTGTGCCCAGTTTTAGGCCTGACGCTGGAGAAGGGCTGTGGGCCAACGTGAGAGTTTCCAGAGACGACTGCAAGAATGATCAGAGGTCTAGAAACACTGATTTAAAAGGAAGATGGGGTGCCCTGTGGTTCTTAGGCTGAAGAAGAAAACATTCAGAGGCATGATAACAGTCTTGCGGTTCATAGAAGGCTCCTCTGTAGATGAAAGAAAGAATCTGTTCTCCATGATCCATGAGCATCACGGACAAGTATCGAGTTTAAGATGCGGCAGAGGAGACTAAACAGGGTGGTGAGAAAGCTTTCTAATCGTAAGGATAGAGTAGTGGAATGGATTACTAAGTGTTGCTGTGGAAATTCTGTCATTAGATGTGTTTAAGGACAAATTAGGTGAAAAACTGAACAACAGGTATGGATGATTCTGCTTGGGATCAAAAGGATCTTTCTCCAGGTTATCAAAGAATATTTGCAAAGTGTTTTCTGTGAGATCAGTTTTAGCTTACAACTTTCAGATCCTTTAGTTTTTAAATGAAATAAAGATATATTTTTGAAGTTTTTTTTAAAAACAAGTTTTATTGTTGGCAGATAGGTCAGCTATGAGCACTTCGAAACTCCCATGCTCATCAGCCTATCCATTCCCCCTTTTTAACTTCTGTCTGACCAACAATCTTATTTTTAGATTATTTTTTTTATATAGCTTCATCTATGTATGGTTTAATCACATCCTGTAAATTACTCATGTATTTTTGTCTGCATGTTGCTATTACAGGTGTTCCACTGAAACCCCGGAAAGAATTAAAATTCATAGAACTTCAGTCTGGAGACCTGGAGGTGAAGTGGTCTTCAAAATTCAATATTTCTATTGAGCCTGTGATTTACGTTGTTCAGAGAAGGTGGAATCAAGGAATCCATCCAAGTGAGGATGATGCTACCAACTGGCAAACTGTGGCACAGGTCAGTTCTTTGTAAAGTGATATGGATCCCATACGATCCAGACGATGATCTAAAGGTCGTCTTCAGATCGGAGAAGAGTTAGATCATTTACAGGTGGGGAGGCTCGTGCAGAGGGATCCCTTTATAGGGTCTCTCTCCAGGTCATGACAGAGCTGCAAACAGAATCCAGATCTCCAAGGCCTTACTTCACTGCTCAACGAACCGTTTCCTAGATTTACTCAAGAGAAGTGAACTTCAGTATTTTCACTTCTAGTTTTTCAGTTATAGAAACATCAAATGCTTTTGGTATGTATTGAAAATGATTTTGTAAAAAAATATACCAGTAAAGAAGTAAATAATGGTTTCCTTGTCCCTAAAAGAAAAAATACTCAGAGGTCTATGTTTTCCAAATGAGTTTATTTTGTGGGTTTGCTCTCTAGAGATACAAATCTATAGAACTAGCTGGAGGCTTGATTTTCATAAGGCTGGTGAGTGGCACTTTCTTGTAAGCACATACTTATGGTCTATTCAGATGGGAATTCCAAATTCTCTGAAAGCTACAAGTCTCTTGAAAAATGTAGAATTAGATACCAAAATCCACTGAAGGAAGCACATAAGAGACATAGTTCTTTTGAGGTCAGTGAGACTCAGTGCACAGTCTCTAAGGCATGGCTTGGATCTTATCAAAATGCTAAGAAATACAATTGGTGAAAAGGCTATTTAATTTTCTAAAATAAAACAAAGAGTGAAAAAAACCCTAAAACTTTTTTTCTTTGTAAAGTTGTTTTTTTCAGAGGTTACCCTCCCAATTCGGAAAAGCCTATGATGTCATGCTCTTATCACTCAGTGCAATCCAGACTGAAAATGTAAGATTCATGAGCAAATGTTTCTTAATGAGAAGCAGCCAACAGAGCATAAATTTTCACTTAGTTTCTTCCCAGTTTCAATCTGTTTTTTAACATGCTGACAGTCCACCTGGATGGCAGAGTTCCAATCGTTTATCTTAACTGCTTCACCCTCATCCCTGCTGACAAGAAAACTAAAATGCTGATTTTGAAAAGACCTGCAAAATGTCATTATAGCCAGGAGAAAAAAAGGGAAAGAGAGAATAAATAGAACCATCCACAAAATAAAGTAAGGACTTTAAGTTCTGTGACAATCTGTGTTCATTCTCAATTCAGATTGTGTAGGGAAAAGCTATCTTAAAATAATGTCAAGTTTGTGAAACTGAACACTCAGAAGTGAAGTTCTTAGCTTCAATGTGGTGCTACAGGGGACTGTCACTTTGTTAGAGTCTTGCTCAGAAAAAGTCACCTGCAGCAGAGCCTGGCACGAAACTCAGCTTGTGCAAGCCAAGGGAACGTGCACACCTCCAAACCTGATAAAGTTGCAGTGACTTACTTACTTATTATCTCTCAGGTGAGGTTCAGGTCCTCAGTTTGCATTCTCCCTATTCAGCAAACAACCTCTTACCTTTGCTACCAGGAAAATACCATGCAGCAAAAATGAGCCAGATGTGGATTACTCCTCACTGTTACCTTGCAGTGTATACGTGCTAGACTGTAGAAGCCCAACTCTTCGGGCTGGTGGATCCAGACTGCAAAGGTAGCACGCTGCTGTGCTTTTTCTCATCCCAGAAACAGACCTCATGCACATTTCTGGAAGCATGCACTACATATGCTCCGCGGCAGCGGAGCATATACGAACCTCCGCCTTCTTGCAGCGGGTGTACAGCAGAGAGTGGTTCAGAGACGTGTTCTTGTGCAAGAGCGATAAGAACCCTGGCAGCTGCCTTTCCTGGGGGTCTGTTACAGGCAGGCAGAAGGGGCTGAGTTAATCACTGTGGCAGGAGAAGCCTCCTCCGACTGACATCTTTCCGAGACCTTCACTGTCCCTTCTGCATCACGAGAGACGCGTGTTTGGTTGTGTGATGGACCCCACCAGCCATGTCAGGTCAGAGCAAGCTTTGGGATGTCTGACGGGCTTCGTGAACTGTGTATGTCTTATGGGACATACAGGCTGGGCACCCTTGAGGGGGGCTAGTAATCGGAATCTCTGTCTCTATAGAGTAATGTACCTCCATCACGTTTGTAGTTTTAGACATCCCACCAGGCAGTCAAATTTGTTAAGTGTGGCTGCCCGCAATAGAATTTATTTTGCAATGTGGGCAACAAGGATGGATATCCAGTTTGACTAAAGTGACTGTGTGCATGGCCTCCGGGCTTTTCTTGTCTATATAACTGAGATTTTTTCTTGTATGATTCCAAAACATTGGGGTATGAGACCTTAATTGCAGGCAAAGGCGGTGAAGAGCTCAGCCATTCGGCTGAGAGCTCCTGGGCATCTCAGTCCAGGGGAGACAATGCTGGCTCTTTCATTACTCTGCAACTTAAGCTAGAGAGCATGTAAAAAACAGCCAAAGATCAAAAAGGCTGTGGGTGAGGATCTGAATTTCTCTGTGCTTATGCCGATATGTAGAGTAATTATACAAAGTTATTCTTTGCATCTTCTTATAAGAAATTTCATAATATTTAATCAGAGTTCCTGATCCAATATTCTATTTTTATTATCTGTCCAAGAAGAAATGGGGTTATAATGTTCAATAACTTTATTTTAAGGTGTTTACTTTTAAAAAAAAACTTGCTGTTTTCTATTGCCTTTACATGAGCTGATTTGCAAGTAATTTTTCGTGCCTCATATATTTCTACTGGATATTGAAAAAATAATTTTGAAAAAGATTGTTTCCTTTGTACTGTATTGTGTCATCAGTTCTTTTTTGATGTTTTTTTTTTTTTTAAGGAGGAAGGCTCAATCTATTAAAATGTTATTTATTTAACTCTCCAAGTATACAAAAAAAGCAAACACATTGAAAACAATTTTAGTTATTTTTCACTTCAGGAAGAAGGGATTTTGCTAACTTTAGTTTTTTACTGCACATTTTTGGGAAAACTTGACATAACTAACCATTTGACTAATTTCCATTGATTAATATAAAAACTATGGGAACTAAGATACTAGTTAGCCTAATTAGCTATGATGTACAGTGTCCTAAGTGGTTATGCCGAGTTTCTTACGCTACTGTTTTTAAGGTTTAACCAGCTGAGCAGGACCTGCTGCAGTATCCTATGAGAATACATCTTGTGAACAAACTTACCGTTCTGTTTGGTGCTAATGCTTTCCAAAAATAATAGTATTACTGTTTACATTGGAAACTTAGATATTTAATTGTATTAAGCTAATTAATGAATTTAATTCAAATATGCCAGGTCAGTTATTTTCAGACAGAACAAGCGTGTGTTGTGTGAATGGATGTCAAGTATGTGTGTGTGTGTGTGTGTGTGTGTGTACACACACATATATGTATACGTATGGGCAGACAATAATGAAGTTTACTTATTAGTTTATTCCTTTATTAAAAGAAATAAGGGGCAGTATTTACTGCTAGCTTGATTGTGACAGACCTTAGTGTTTCACCTTGGAATTGTCTAAACTATGTGGACAGCTAATCTTTTTTAAAACTTAAAGTTTCTGAGACACCTGAAGTTCTGGTTCTGAGGATCACAAAAGGTTTCTCAGCCCCTGACAGTGAGAAATCCCAGCTGGAGCTGACCCCCAGTCTTGTACACGAAAGGTTTCTCTCTCCATCTTGCAGGAGGGGCTTGCTTTGGTGAGTGTTCTTAGAAAGTGCCCACCTTGTGTGGGATTGCATTCCCATGAAATAGGGGGGTTCTGCTGTCCTTTGATAGAGTAGTAGATGCAGCACCGTCAGGTTTCTTCTGTGTCAGAGGAAACATAAGCTCAGCTCTTCTGATACCCTGGATGGTATCCCTTCATTCTCTGAACTGCAAATTCTGTTACCACTCTGCGTTCTTTCAAGAGAAGGTGTAGAGCTATGAACTCAGGAGGGGAAGGCTGTCCTCTCCTATCTCCATTAAACCTTTGCACTACAGAAAGGAATCCAGGATCGACAGTGTGAAAGATAGGGAATGAACACAATGAAACAGTGCGTTGATTACTGTAATCCTTGGTGAGGGGACAATCCTCCGTACCAGTCTTTGCTGTGAAGACCTTCTTACACCAATTTTTACAAATATACAAATAAGACAGAAAAAAATCCTTGGAGTGGTGATGTAAGAATCCCATCTGATGGCCTAACTGCTATGCTGCCGGGTCATACATTCTCCTTCTTCTCCCTCCTCATCCTAACTAATCCCACGTTCCCTTACAAGAAGTTGTAACTTTCAGCCTTCCTTTCTCCAAGGAACAGTTTGCCCATGAATGTAGAACATGTTCTAATTCAAAATAGCATGCAACATCCAAGATGCTAGGGAATATTTTCTCCCAACCTCTCAGACAAAGGATGGGATTGAAGATAGGTCATCCACGCTCTGGGTAAGTACTTTAGTCATTAGTCAGTTATCTGAGCTGGGATCTGGGGAGATTTCTGTAGGCATTTTGAAGAGAATAGCAGATAACCCATTTTGAAAGACAGGATGAGGGGACTGCTTTCAGGAGACACCTCAGGGCTTGAACAGTTAAGGGCTGCTGGGAGAAGAGTAGAACTGTCCGTGCTTCCTAAATGGGACAGCTCTGGGCAAATCTCATCCAAAATCCCACCTGAAAGCCCAACCACTTTCTTCTTTCTGGCCATCGGAGGTGGCCTGTTGTCCCTTGGACCTGAAATGCACTCTTGAGAAGGAGCGTCAAGCTATTCTCCGTATTCTCCAGGTTATGTCATTGCAATTACGTGCTGCTCTTCTATAAAGTTGTATCCTAATGTAATTAATGGGGATTTTCCCTTGTCTTCATTGAATTTTGGACGGTGCTGAAGGTGGACATGTTGGCCAATGATTTTGTCTGAGGACTCATTTGTTATTTTAATCCAAATGAAACGCCTATTAGGATTGGAGGTTAGCTTCAGAACATTCCTCTTCTAAGTAAATGGGTAATGCATAGCCAAAATAAGTAGTAATTATGACCCCGTAATGATTTGAGGGGTGGTCTTTTTGTTTTGTCTTTTATTTATGACTCTTAAACAAAATATACTAGCATTCTAAGAAATTAGAATCAGTAAAATTGTTGTTTAATTTCTCTCATATTCAGGTAGAATTTTAGGTGTGTGATGAAATTCACCCATTAGTTATTTAATACCACTCAGCGTACCATTTAGTGGGCTTACATTAATATAAGACAGATATTGAAAGGACTCTGAATATTATGATCTCAGCTCCAAACATACTTAAGTAGTGAGAACTAACTAGATTAAAGCAATTAAACAAAAAATTCAGTTTACCATTAAGATAGTATAAGATATTTCAGTAGTATTTAGCTCTTTCTTGAAATCTATTAAATCTATGTAAAGGTTGCTTAGAGGTGCCAGAGTAGTTTATACTCTATAGTGCAAGAGTTACAGATACATCTCCTGCATGCCATTGAGTTTAACAGGAGCTTTGCCAACAAAAGGAACGAATAAAGTAATAGGCCCAAGGTACGTTAATAAATTAAAATAATTTTGGTGATACAGATTGACAGATTATTTGATTTTACAGTATTTCACGGTTGCCATGAAGACTGACACAACTGAAATCTTTTCTTTTAATCAGTCCTAGCAGAATAGCTAAGCCGATGCAAATGACAAGATTCCTTAGCTGAGGAATTTGGGGTCAATTCTATTCAGATTATGCTTGCCTTGTAACTAAATTCAGCAAATCTGTTCTTAAAAACCCACAGTGTTGTAACTAGTTAGTTACAGTTAGATATTGGTCCTGACCCTGATTTCAGTTGCAGCAGTAGCCTGAATATGTCCTTGGGTTTTTTTCTGTTAGTATAGTGATAGTTTATATTACTCTAGTTCACTGTCTAGTCTCACCTGCAAGTTCTTGAGTATGTGGGCCTGCATACTGGAAAAAACTAGCACATTTGAGTGCTCCATAAAATGAAAATAATAGTAAAAATTGGTTCAGGTAGGCTTTTTTTCTTCCCCAGGGGAACCCCTTCACTGGATGAGATAATTCACTCTACAGGTAACATAAAAGCTAAAAAAAGGAAAGATGAGGCAGGCAAGGAAAACATCAGGACTGTTACCCCTGCTTGGGCTAAAAAGACAAATACAGCAGTCTGAATAGAGAAGGACTCTAAATAGCAGCAATATGTGAGGGGCTCAAAGTCTGCAACACTTACCAGTCTGAGAGCAGTTAATAGTGCAGTTTAGAAAGGCTCTCTTTCCTTTACATGCACACACAAATGAGATACCTGTTTCTGTAAATTTTGCTTGTCACCAAATGAAGAGATTAAATGCAGGATAACACCTACAAATTTTATTTGTCAGGGCTCTAAAAATACCTTTGCTGGAGAGCTGAAGCAACTTCCTCAAGCTCTGGCTGAGTTATACCAGCAGCTGCTACTTTCTTACACAGACTGGAAGGGGAGCAAAAAGCAGAAATTATGCTGTGCCTTTTTTGGGAACTACTTGGCATCATTGCAAGTAACATTGAATGCTATACAGGGAAGGTGGGTTTTTGAAGTTACAGAAAACAGAGCTTGTAAAAATAAATTGATGTCACTACATTTTCAATGAGCTTGCATGTTTGGTCAGTAATGGTAATCAGTAATGATTGTATAGTATATTTAGACATATACAGGGCATTTGCTTCAGGTTCATGTGTTATTTTGATTAAAGAATTAAAACGCAATAAACACGACATCCTAAAATAAATTGAAAACTCGATGATTGAGAGGTAATAGCGAAAGTAAAATCTGCAACAAGTGGATGAATTTCTGATGAGTTCTACAAAAATGCTACGTCTTCTGCACTTGGCAGTGATTCAGCAGTTACCAGGAGGCTGTGTTCAGTTCTGGTGTTTGTTCCTTAGGAGGAGTAAGAAACAGTGCAGAAGATAGCTGTTTAAAGGGGAAAAAGAAAAGATAGAGGAAAGCGGGGCTCAGAATAAGAGCATGTAAAGCACCTCCTACTGAACAGGTTCAGCGTGCATCTATGCTTATGCCATATTTCAGCAGTTAAGGTACTCCCCCCAGAAGCTGGAGATTGAACTCGTGACACTAGCAGTCGCAGTGGGTGTTGTTGGAGAAAAGGTCATCTCCTATGACCTGAGAAAAGTCTGCAGGGAAGAGTTAAGGCCGTGAGTGTCTTTTTGACGTAAGTGCCAAAGATCTGAAGAAGGCTTACATTCATTACCTGAGGGTTTTGTGTTTCCTGTGAACCAGAAAAGGCGGCTTCTCACAGCGCTAGATTATGTGAAGCCATTTTGGACCCCTAATTCTCTGAGAATTGGGAACTGGAGAAACCATTTCTGTGACCTGGGGCAATGAGTTCCCTGAAACGTCAACACCTGAGCAGCTAGGCCCTATGCACTGGTATATATCACTGGCTGTGATAACTGGGAAACTAATTTGGGGAATTTAACACTTCGGTTTTCTAAAGGTTGCTTTTTCCAGAAGAGACCTGCAACGCACTGTAAAATTGGGTGGTTATATGATTTTTTTCCCAGCTGTAAATGCTTCGCAGTGCAGAATGATGCTCGGAGTCGGGTGAGGTGGTTGCTGACGCTGCTGCGGATTCAGTCTGGCTAACCGGTGTCGCGTGGGAGATGATAGCGCAATTAGCCCTGTCAGAACAACGAGTGTAAGTGTGACATTTTCCCCACCAGACTACAGACGAGCGGGTTCGGCTGCCGGACATCCGAGCGAGCAGGTGGTACCAGTTCCGTGTGGCAGCGGTGAACGTGCACGGGACGAGAGGCTTCACGGCACCCAGCAAGCACTTTCGATCCTCGAAAGGTTAGTTTTCTTCTGCCATGTCTGATGCTCACCTTCCACTCACTCACATGTGGAACACAACCTGGTCTGGCTACTTTTGTGGCAGAAGGTATTCAACAGGTGGGGTTTTGGGGTAGTTTTGCCACCGGCTTTAGAAATGGTGTGAGATTTGTTTGAAGTCAGCAAAGGAATTAAAGGTTAAAGATGTCATTATTCTTTTATCAGTCAGGGGTCTCAACGAACAAACCTCCTTTTAAACATTTTCCGCACGGTTGGTATCAAACAACATGACCCTGACCATGAAACATGAAGGAACTGTCGTTTCAGTGTGTTATTCTGAGAGGTTTCTCTTATTTTTCTTTTTAGTTATGAGAAATACGTTGCTGCCATATGTTTAGCAGAGTATTAAAATATTTTGTTGCCTGTATCTGAATACTTGTAGCAGCATTGTTTTGATGGAACTGCGGCCTCTCTTAATATAACTTTCCCCTTGCTGGCAGTAATTGTAAGGACTTAAGAATAAAAAGGGTATAAATGCTAAATAGCATGTTTCTGTTCATTAGAAAGGCATGCTGGACAATCCACAAAGTACTGTAGGAATTTTTGTTGCCATTTCTGGTTTTGCAAGGGTTTGGGTAATAAAATAACTTTGAAAATTATCTCTGTACCAGTAAATGGTCCTTGGGGGATAAGGGAGATAGAAACTGATCTCCTATCCTGTGAAGTTGGTGGCATTGTCCCTGCTGTGCCTTTGACCCACGCGAAGGAAAATTTTTCCTGGATGACTCTCAGGCATAGTATAGGAGTTAGCAGAGGCCAGAAACTATTCCTGACAGACAGATGGTCTGGATGTGGTCACCCTCTCTTAAAGACAGTCGATAACGCGGGCATAGCCAGACTGTGCTAGTTGACTTTAGTGCCAAAGAATGAGATCTAGCACTCTTCACTCTACTAATAGAGGTAGTTTCTAACAGAAAGACTTGTCTTAGTTTTAGTAGTGACAGAATCTTTACACTGGCATAACACATACTTCAAGGAATGCGTTTCCTCCTCTTTCTGCAGACAGAATTATCTTGCAATACAGGCAGTTGCCATCTATGGGTTCCTGTGCTAGCTTTTAGCTTGCTGTTTGGCCATAGTCAGTCCTAGAAAAAAATGTTATTGTAGGTGCAGTTGTAGACGCATGCAAGTGCTTTTGCTGGTATGGATGGTTTAATTACTTACTGAATAAGTATACATTAGACTTAATAAGTTTTTGGTGCTATAACGACATTTGTGGTAGGAAGGTTGGCTGGCATAGCTATCCCATTACTGCTGTGACCACAAGCCTTTTCAAGTATAAAAGTATTATTTTAAGATTTTTTTATACTTAGTAGCATACATTTCAGTCACATCAAAAATACAGTTCCTTCAAGCTGTGTTGAGCTTACTGCAAGGACTCAGCAGCAGCAGTAGCTTTCTCTTTGCTTTTTTCATGAGCAGCACTTCAGCAGATACAGCACTTTGTTGCTGGATCTGGAACCAACTTTCTTTTAAACTGAGGTAGTTGTCAGTTGCTTTACTGAGTTTTTAAAGATTTTCCAACTATTCTGCTTGGAACCACTATAATTGCAATTACATAAAGGTATATCATGATAACACTGAGGTTTTGGCTTGAGCGTGACATTTTCAGGCAGGATTTGTATTACTTTCCAAAAAATTCGTCCCCTACTGAGTGTGCTAGCCACAGGAGTATATTGTTCAAAAAACCTACGTTGGTAATGAATAGAAGAACATCCATGGTAAGTCATACTGAAGGTCTCTTTAGCCCAGTATCTGACCCCAGCCAAAAATGGGGTTTTGGAGAACAGCGTAAGAAGGACGTAAGCACGTAGGGATACTTCTTCAGAGTAGCCTCCCAGCTGGCAGTGATTTGTGTTTCAGGAGCCCGTGGGTTTGAAATGATTCCAGGTTGGGTACCGGAGTCCTCTTTTTCTGTGGTCTCTGCAGCTACCCCTGGAGCACTTGCTCTCCTCGAGCGCTGCTCAGGGCTGTCTGGTGGAGGTGGGGAGCGCTTTTAGGACTTCGTGACAAGGACAGCAGGAGCCAGTAGTGCCTCTGCGTGCTTTTACCCAATAAACCAAATGAGAGGATCTTGATAATGGCAGAAAGTATGTAGCCAGGATTGTTCAAAAGGCTTCTATAACCCTCAAAATAACAATTTTCAGCTCTAAACTCCAGCCCTTGGCAGAGACTTGCAAATTGCCAGACAAACAGCAAGGAGTTCAGTTAGCTCTGTAGCCAAAATCGTCCTACTCTGGCAGCTCACTTGACTATTTCAGAGGCTTTGGTATTGTCAGTGGTTATTATAAAGATACCATCTTCTCCGGATGAAGCGTGTAGAAGCACTAGGTGACACGGATGAAGACGCTGCTAGCTGATGACTGTCGGCAGTGACACTGGGATGCTTCAGTCGCTGTCTCAGCCTCCACGTCCCCGAGTAGGTGCTCATAGCGGTAACGGTTATAGTGTCATATAGACATTTAATTACTACTTTGGAGCTCAGTGGGAAGTGGCAGCCCCTGCCTGGCAGAGAGGCAAGAAACTGCTGCTCAGATGTGCCTAGTTTTTTAAGTGCCAGTGTCTGCTGGCCCCTGCTGAGCTCCTACAGGCACATTTAACCTCCAGTTTGGAAAAGGAAAGCGGACTTTGGCACATCACCTTTAGAAGGTTGCTGACTGTCTGTGCCACATTTATCTGAAGTGTGGACAGAAATTCACATTAGTTCTTTGCTGTTTCAGTTCACCCTGTTGTGCCAAGACCAAGGGAAGATTATTATCTTCTTCAGACCTAACAGAAGTTTTCTTCAAAAAGAATCCCTTTGATCAGGAAACATGACAGCAATTCCTGAGACAGTTTCTCACACAAGATGCTGAACTTTTACCAATTGCTCATAAGTTATAATGAATAGCAAATTACTTGGGTTTGTTTTTTCTTTAAAGGAGGACAAACATGATATATAACCTGAATCTAGGGAGGAGTATGGCACCACAAAGTCTCTGTCACTAAATATTTTAAGCTGTTAAAAAGAACATTCAAAAACATTGGTGCTGTAATTACTTGGAGAGAGACTTTTTGTCTCATTACCACCATACTGTTGTATACTACTTTGTGTTTTTTGCAAATGCAAAATATATGATCTCTAAGTAGGCACAGCGAAGTACCGTTTTGTTTTACTCAAAATAAAGTTATGTCTTCTGAGGTATGTAATTTGCATTAACTTTTCTGTGACTAAACAAAGCTTCTTGTTATCCAAATTAGTTTAACTTCCCAGTCATGAAAAAGACAAAACCAGGAAGAGTATTTTATTAAGCATTCCAGCTTACCATTCTTCATCTAGCTGTGTTTTGAGGGTTTATCTACTGCAGCTTTTGATGCTCTTATAGTGTAAACATTTGAGGTGAAGGTTTATTAGCTGTTTTACACTGCCTCATGTGTTCATTTATGGCATTAATCTGTAAATAATCAAAGTGACACAGCTGAGATAATTCATGAAATATTCAGAGCTTAAGCAAAGAGAATTTTTTTATGCTGTTTATTTCTTTTTTATAAAGGAAATGAAGGATTTGCATGTGCTTCTCTGGCATGGCCCTTCACAGGGAATGAAGTGATGCTTCATTTTGCCAAAATTAGAAGAAACACAGATCAGACTATACCTATCTGTTTGGAGCAGAGTGTCTAGAAGAATACTGCACCTAGGAGAGTGGGTTCTTTCCTAGAACTAGAACTCTGCACATGGCTTTTCAGATTGATACTGTCAGCTAAAACTGATCAAAACTTTCTGCTCTTTTGACAGTGGTTTCCACTTCACTTTTCAGGGTTTTTAAATTGTGTGTGCTTGCCTTTTGATCTTCAGCTGAGTGGCAACAATTTGCAATAACAGCAATAAATAAAGGTAACGAATGCCTGGCAGAACTTTTTTGATCCCCAAAGGTACAAATATATTTCTTTTCATATTTTGACTGGCTCTCTCCAAGCTGCTTCATTCTCTCAGGAAGCAGGAGAGGACTGTTCTTCCAACCCATAAATGAGTCTCCTTGGATGAAAAGCTGCCCATGGGTTTCTCCCATTAAGCGAGCACCAAATAGCCTAACCCAACTGGTCAGAAGCTGCTCGGCACTAGTAATAAAACTTTTAATTTGTTGCATTTGGGTAAGAGTTTTTAGGCTCATTTTTTCTAGCTTTTCATGATTTATGATGAGAAGGAACTCTTAGTAACGGAGACCACAGTTAACTAGAGGGATCAGTGTTAGGCATTTCCATATATTATCTTGCTGGTCTGTAGTTAGGTACTGTGCCATTTCCCAAGACAAGAAGAGGCTATAAGATGAACACAATGAGCCCAAACCATCTGATCCTTCTACCTCTGCTGAAGTTTTTTATCTTCAACATGAAGGCAGTTGCTAGCACACACAGGATAAATTGTCAAGCAAAAGGAAGCAGACAACATTGTTTTCACAGCACGTAAGTACCATGCTGGATGTGATTTCATGCATACATTACTGAGTGTTAGTAAAACCAGAACAGACACCCACTCCCGGCAATAAAATTCTTTCTGTTGCTCCTTTGGGACCAATGATTTTTTTATACTGTTGCACAGCTGGTTTATGTGTGCCATTTCCATTGGGCAAAGTCAGTTGCCCCGCTTATGCCTTGGAATTGTTTAATGGTTGGAAACTTGTCTGTAGAGCAGCTTCAGCAGATTTTTAGAGTTGGAATGTCTAATGTTTAAAAGATAGCAATGGGAGATCCATTTTAAGTCAGAAAAAAAAGCTCTATAAAAAAGGGTTTAAATTAGAGTCAAACTTGCTATCACTTTTACAGCTCAGAATGAGAATTCTGGTTCCAATGTCATTATTTTCTTCTCTGACATATATTCCAAATCATTTACTGTTTTCATTATGGTTGCCACATTTAAAGCCAAAGTGGATGCACTGCAGCAGTGTATGATGCGATTCTTGTGTATAGCTTGCCCATACTATTTTGTTAAGGTTGCAAAGTGCTTCCAGATCCTATTGATTGAAAGAACTCCGTAAAATATAAATTGTGTATCACCATGTTACAAATACGAGCGTGGGAAGATGTGCATTTTGAAATGGTGATGATGTGAGGGTTTTCTTTTTTTCTTTTATTTGCAGCAAGGAAACCTCCCTTTTGGGGACTGGAGACAGAGTTTTGCTTGTGATGGCTAAGTAGCCAGCAAGACAAGAATTTAAGTCCTTTGGGTATACTCAAGCCAGATACAATCCAGACAAATGCGGTACTTACTCCGTGTGCTGGAACAGCAGCTTCAGCCTTGACCTAATGAAGCTATCATTTCTAGCAGCAAGAAGTGATTTACTTGTCAGACTGCTGAGACCAGAATTTTTTTGGATTTGAGGACAGCTGTCTGTGCCAAATTCTAGTATATATATAATGACTTTTATTTTATTTGAGTTGTAGTATAAACTGCAAAGGAAAAGCTGCAACTAGCATCACTCTTTCTGCAAACCAAAGAATTTGATTTAACACTCAGATAAATTTGTGTATATAAAATTTCAGAACTTTACATTTGAAAAACTGGCAGTAGTTTCCATTCCAGTAATTTAGTGTTCATGTATCTGAATTATACATGTGGGCAGTCAGTCAAAGGGATCACAGATATATGAAGACTAACAGTAGAACGGCTTTTAGCTTTATAGTCAGCAGAATGCCAGTTTAGCTTCATTGTCAGGGTAACAAACACCTTATGTATAAAAGCTTTATAACCCAGTACCAGCTATTTGACCTTGAAGTATTTCAGCATGAGTTGTACCCTGCTTTTAATGTCTGCACAGTCATACGCATAATAGAGCACCTTGTAGAAGCATGACTTTTCCATTCAATAATGCAATAGTGAAGGCTTAAAAAAATCAGAAAAAAATAACTAATCTGTTATCTGGTACCTGGCAGGCATACATTATGGAGGAGCATGCTCTTATCTTTAAGTGTTTTGGTTTGGGGGTTTTTAAGGGGTTTTGTTTTGGGGAGGGGGCTTTGGAGAGGTCTGGTTTGCTTTTTTTGTTGTTTTTTTTGTTTTGTTTTTTGAGGGTGGGGTTTGGGTCATTTGGGTTTTTCTCCTGTTAATAACAGATCATGGTATCTTGCCTTGCTGCTATTCCTTCTCACCTGTTTGTCTTGCTGGTAAAAATCCTTTGGAATGAAAGAAAATATTAATATTGTTGTTTCTTTGGCTTACAAAATGATAGATCTGAAAGTTGTAATAGTGATGAGTGTCAGAAATATATAGAAATAAATAAATAAATTACATAGTTGTATTAAAATATTTCCTATGGTATGGATCCTCAGGTGGTATGAAATGCTCACTAAGTGGCTTCATATTTCAGGTAATACACCCCAAATCCAAGAAATATTTTACTGTTGTGTCTCTACAATCAGACAGGGTTTTTTCAGATGATTAAATGCAAAACCGCAATAAATTAAGTTTTGCTCATCCTTGACATCTTACATCCTTCTAGTTTATTATTTTCTCCAGCTAAGTCTACTAGATTTAAAAAAGCTCTTCTAGAAGATGTGGCACTTTCAAATGTCTTGCCTTTTGATGTCTGTCAGCTGCAGATCTTCTTCCTTTCTGTCTTCTGCCGCTACCACCATGACTCTCCTGTTCAAAGGCATTTTTGTGGATGACATTTGCGAGGCTTGCAAAAGACAGACTTTGAAGAAAGGGGGCACTTAGGAAAATGTTTCTGCCATTGCTGTATTATTTCACATGTATATTCCCTTTAAGAGGATGTTCTTTCTTTCCTTAACTGTAGCACACAATGATTTTTAATACAACGTTTACATTCTCCCATAAGAAAGGAGAAACACTACTGGGTTTTCTTTTAAATATGGATCAGCATTTTGTCTGCTGCCTGGACTGTTTCTAGTGAACACAGAAGAAATGCTAATGATAAAGTAATGTTTTCAATAAACTGTGCAATTATAAAAAGTATGGGGTGAAGTGCTAGTGCTGTAGAAGTCAGAAGAAATGACCTATTGGTTTCAGTATGCACATAGTTCTTCCTTACTGTTCTCTTTTTCTGCTTATGTTACTGGAAAAACGGGGATGTTTGAAGTTACCTTAAAAAACCCCAAATTCCTATGATTCTGAGACATATAAAAGCTCCGTTCTTGTCAATCGCTAACTTTATACAAAGAAAATGACCCACTATCTTGCATTCTGATGGGAACAGAAACATTTGAAAAGGAAGAATGTAAATTTGGTCATTTGCTTTTAGACCTATGAAAAATTGGTGAATGGAACTTTAAAATATTTTTGATTATATAGTACACTTTGTCCAGAAGAGCTATTTCATTTAACTTTTAATTTTTTTTAATGACTCTCAGAGCCTTTTATAGATGCATAATGAAGACAAACATGTTTTATGGTTAGAATTATTTTTGCTTATATCTGAATATTTGTGAAGACATTCTCTGAAACATTTTAATTCTATCCAATATGTTAAGTATACATAATACATGATGCATCTTACTTCTGGGAGATAACCTGAATAATTCACCTACGGTAATATGATCATGTTGCGCTTCAGGTTATAAATGTTTTATTGCCGTAGTACATTGTCATATAACATAAAACCCCCCTAACATTTTAAATCAGTGAAGATGAAAGAATTTGGATCTATGAATCATGATTTTGTTTATATTTATTGTACCTAAATTTCATTTTATATGTGCTTATTTTATTAAACTATAGAAGTAAATGAAAAGTTGTGTTAGAGAACAGTACAAACCATTTAACTAAATTAACCTCTTAAATTTATCCCCTCCAGTATAAATAGCTTTGTATACTTTAAGATGGAGTTGTTGGCTACTTCACAGGTAAGCAAATAAGTGTAAGGACAGTGCTTCTCCAAAGCCAGAAAAAAATAAAGGGAACTGGCTTGCCAGCTAATTAAAAAACAAGTGAGAAAAAATAAGGAGTTCTCATTATTTTGAAAATTAAGTTAAATTTGCAATATTCTTAAACTCAAGCATGCTTTGTAACTTTTATAGCCAAAAGTGAGGTTGAATTATATGTGTGAGGAAACAGGGGAATCCATTACCATTTAACCAAGAGTCCTGTTAAATAACAGGAATAAGCCATTATTTCACATATGCTGATCTTTAAAAAGGAAATGCTGTCTTTATTAATTCTGAATGTGTCAGTTTGCATGACCTAAATGATGGTATTTTTCAGTGAGACCATTTGTCATAGGGATTATCTGATGAACTTAGTATGCCTGGAAAGTTTGTTTAACAGCTCATTTACCATTATAAAAAGATGCAGGTGAACCATGCTGTAAATGAATGTCTCCTCTGCACACCTCCAGTTTTATTTCTGGCAAATAAGTGGTGGCTCATTTGGCTAAAAAAGTTATATGAAATTTTTTTTTCAATCAGATGATTGTTTTTTCTTGGCTACAGGTTCATAACATGCCTTAATTACCATGAATTTCCTTTATTCTGCCTGATATACTTTTAATTTTTTTTGAGTCACATTGTTTACTTTTACTTAAATTTTGGTTTTGCAGTTTTTTTATATTTTCTTACCAATGTTTGGCTACCACAGGCATTTAAAAAAAAGTAAGATTAAAAAGTAGGAGTTAGTAAATAGCAAAGCGTGCTTTCAGAAGCCCAGTTGCAAAATTTCCGTTGATTCACATTACTCAGGGCCAGAATATTATATACTAGGTCCACAAGGAGGACTTAACATCCAGTATTGGAAAAGGTTCAATATTGGAACCTCTGACTGTCATGTGTCCTTCTTGACTCTGGGGTCAGCACAGAGACAACTAAAGGAATAATATTTTAGTTGATATTGACCAGAAATTAAACCAGAATAGGGAAATAAATCACAGGGGTAGCTAATTACTTTTTGTTGTTCTAAAAAAAACCTTGTAGACTTCTATGACACCATAATATATCATTACATCTTAATTACATTTATTCTAAGGAAGTGTTTATGTCCTATGGTGGAATGTATCTATACTAGAATTTTGAAGAAAGATTCAACATGTAGAAACATATTTTATCATCTGAGAATTGTCTGGCAACACCGAAAAAATACTCAGTTTTCGCCATACAATTCTGTGATGACTATACAAGGCCGCTTGTAGAACACAAATGTTTTAGGCTCGCTATATATGTAAAGTAGTGAATGACAGAAGTGAAACTGATAGTCTAGTACATTTTGATAAAGCTTTGTGGTATTTGTGAACTATCAACAACACAGAATAATGACAAAACTAGATGCTAACCCCTAATTCTTATTTCAGTAGAGCTTGAATTTCTACAATTTACAAGAAGCCATATCAGTTATGGGAAATTTTTGCCTGAATTTTCTTCAGTGTATTGAGAGTGTTTAATCCAGTTTGTGTATACCTGGTAAATATATAAGGTGAAGATGATCTTTACCTTATTGAAGATGATCTTTAGTTTAGAATCTTTTTGTTTGTTTTAAATTCCAGATCCATCTGCTCCACCAGCTCCATCTAATATCAGAATTGCCAATATCAGTGCAAACAATGACGGGAGTGTAGATGTAATGATTACTTGGGATCTTCCAGAAGAGCCTGATATCCCAGTGCACCACTACAAAGTCTTCTGGAGCTGGACATATAGCAAATATGTAATCCCAGCTAAAAAGAAGAGAAGGAAGATTACTGATGGGGTAAGAAAGAAATATAGTAAATGAGACAGAAATATGGCTTATTTCTGGCAGAAAGTAGAGTGTAAGTATAAAATATGTGATCAATTGCAATGATTTCAGCAGCTGGTAAAGTAGAGGTCTTAATTTTTTCTATCACCAACCCCATAGACAATTTTGATCTCTTAAGCTCTGTCTTTGAACTCAGGGAGAGAAGTAGACATCTGCCTTAAAATGCAGGTAAATACTATAAGATATTGCAGGGGAGATGAATAGAAAGTTAAATGCTATTTGTCCTGTAAATTCAGGCTTATTTTATTAGTGCTTCTTAAAGATAAAGTGCTTGTTTTATTTAAGAAGGCTAACATTATCTGTCAGATTGTTCTTTCAGTATGCAAATAAAACTTGTGACACTATCATATAGAATAACCGTTAAATAGTATATGTCCAAGCAAAAAACAAACTCAAAACTCTTCAGCTAAGCTGCTGTACCAAAGATGTGATATTTTTCCATAGCAGCAAGTTCCTCTGAGTTTCTTGAATGATGTATCAAATATTGCTTTACTGGAAAACTATCTGTTGTGATATCCTTAAGCATATTGCATATTATTTTAAAGTAGTTAATAGAAATAGAAATCAATTACACATAACAGGCTGAACTCAATTCTCAGTGCTGTTAATAAATACATTGTGAGAATTTGGTCGCACGTCTGTGTTAACACGGCATTTTGGCTCCGTCCGGCGGCCCACTTGCCCTGTGATGAATGACAGCCGGAGCGTTATAGTTCCCTCTCTGTCCTTCAGTCACCAACACTGAGAAAATAAAGGCAACGAAGGCTGTGTGCTGAGTTCATCTACGACAGATCGGCCACAGCAGAGGGACCACCGTGGGAACGTGCTGGACCCACACCTTCTCATGGGAACTGATGGGTGGTCAGGGTCTGGAGGCTGCAGAACCACCACCACCAGCTCTGTGCTGGGCAGGCAAGAAAAGGAAATTTCCCTGCAAATGTTGACAACGTGGAGTAATTTCAGGGGCTGAGATAACTTGGGTCTTTGTTTCTACTTCCGTTAAATACTTAAAAAACCCCAAAAAGTAAATATGCATCGGAAAGAAAGATAGTTCTTGTAATTTTAGAAAATTACTTTGCCAAGATAGGAGCAGGGTTGGACTGTGCTAGGTAGAAAAGTTTGTGTTTCTCAGGAAAGCTGCCGTTGGCTGGAGATTTTCATGGCAGAGGCTACAGCCTGAAGATACAGGGGAGCTTTCTCTCTACAAGCTGGTCCTTAAGTCACAAACCCCAGAGAATTTTAAAATTGAGCTGGGTCCTTAATGTTGTGTTAGCACTTTGTGTAGGGTACATCCTACGTATAAATATGTTAAAACAGATCCAATATACAACTTTATAGTAATTGGGACCAAGTTCTGACCTTGAATATAGGGAAATCCAGCAGAGCCAAGGCATATTGGAGAGAAAAAGCAGTCTCTTAGAATATCTTTCATATTACTTCTGGCTCATTGTACTTTTTCCTCTGCAGCATGTCATGAAACTGTACGGCAATGCCAGTGAGATTCAAACTTCCCCCACAGGACGCTCCTGAGGCTATTGCTAATCAATAGTCCTTTGAATTACAACTTATAGTAGCAACTCTTCTGTCTAAAAATTGAAACTGCAGAAAACTTAAAAAAAAATAAATTAAAGGTGGAAAAGTCTTATTTTTTAAAGATCATTGAAAATTTTTTTTACCCAGTTTTTACCTTTAAATGTAGTCTAGTCCAGATAGTTTTATAATGATTGCCATATGAAATCATTCCAGGTAGACATTCAAATAATTTGACTACAATATTAACACTGTTAATTGAGCGTTACAGTCAATATTATAAACATCTCAGCACAAAACAAGTAAAGGTAATTGATATGACATGCTTTTGACAATCCAAGTGTTAAATATGGCAGTACATGGTTATCTTTTCCACCCTGGCTTGACTGTCAAACTTCAGAGGCACAGAGTACTCTAATGAAAACATGGAGTAATGTCTTCTGTCTGACATACGGGCTAGAAGGGCATTTTTATAAATACATTTTAAAACATTTAGAAATCTAAGAATACTGAGAAGCCTTGGCCCTTCTTTGCAATATCATGGGACTTGCTTTAATTTATGGATTTTTGACTGGAGAATGATAATCCTACTCTGATGTTTCTCCGTTTAAGACACCTCCATGACAATGGAAACAGTTTTTTTTCTTTTCTGTTTTCCATTCTATAGCAGAAAAGTGTATTTTTGGTTGTGGGTTTGGGGTTTTTTTTATTTATTTTTGTTTTCAACAGTTGAAACAAATAGGAAACATTGACAAATGTTCTGAATGTTGGATTTTAGCTGTCCTCAGACTGACTGTCTCTAGAAAAAGATTTCAATTGCTTTGCTAACACAGAAATTGGGGAATAAAAAGTTTAAATTTCTTTGGCTAAAATAATTTTGGCATAAGAAAAAAACTTGCTATATGTAAAAAAAAAATCCTTTAGTTTTGACCTAAACAAGAGGTGTCTGTATTTGCCAAGTAATTGCCAAAATTATGTAAACATCAGGAAGGTTAGTATTTTAAAAATGACACAGAAAAAAAGAGTCCAATAAAATACATTTTTTTAAAAAAGGAAATTTTGCTCTGTTGAAATTTATACATGAGTTTTCTTTTCTAATTTTAAAAGAGTAGTGTGCCTAAGATAACAGGCCTGCTTTTAATAAGGGCCTGTGTTTCAGTAATACTATAACTACTTTGTATATTTATTCTTCTCTATTATAGGCCCAAAATTATGTGGTCCTGGAGGGACTCCAACCCAACAGCAACTACAATGTAGAACTGCAGGCAGTAACACGCTGGGGTCAGATACGCCTAAAAAGTGCTAAGGTTTCTCTCCATTTTAGCACAACTCAGGACACCAGGAATAATAGTGAGTAATTGTATTCAAACACCTGAATGCTTTATCTCTTCTTTATCTGGAATTTGAATGTTTTATATAATGATTTTTCAAATAAAAAAAAAAAATGCTTGAAGCTTTCTGTTTCATATCATAGCGATCCTGTCTCGGTGAAGCTGAGTAACCTTTTAATGTTAAATTTCTTATCTAAAAATTGGTGACAGTTTTTGCCTAATTCTTTATCTTAGATCCTATTCACCTGAAATATACAAATGCAATGAAAATGGAAGCGTTTGCATGACTGTGGTGTTAATACATTTTAAATGCAGTACAGGTATAAATACTTACATTATTTGTCAGTGGCTCCAATAAAACCATTTCTGTGTCTTTGTCTTAACTGGACAGTTTTAGCTTGCAATGCTTTTCAAAATCCTGACTATTTTGAGTAGCCCATTAATTCAGATTCTTGGACCACACAAATATGTATCTACTATGAACTGATATAAAACAATAACTCTTCTAGTAGGGAATCTAAAATGTTCGATGCCTAACAAGCAATGAATTCTGAAGAAATTATTGCACACAGAAGACCCACATTCAACTTAGAATCTTGAGATCTTAAGATGTCAGCTTATCTCTTGTTAAGATCTTCTTTAAAACCTCCCATGCTAAATAATGTAACTGAAAAGCATATCTGAATCTGAAAGTAAACCATGATCCTTAGTCTTAGTTAAATGCTCTTTTGTATAATTACAATACCAAGTTACTGCTCCAACTGCTGATGTATCTCTGATTAACCAATACAGCAAAATTCTGATAATAAGATGTTAAAGAACATAATTTTAAATATCCTGTCCTGACTCCATTTCATTTTTCATCCATTTACATTCTTTATTTAAAGTACACTCAAAGTTTAAACTTTACTGAGTTTACTTTACAGGAGAAGGCTGGTGCCTGGATTTCACCTGAGGCTGAGCTGTGTCCTGGTAACTGGGACAAAATTCTAGGTGCCATTATACACACCTAGCCAAAGTGACGCTGGGCAAGCTGTTGAATTTCTTTCTCTCATTTTACTATGAGAATAACTTTATAAACTTTCCTCTCTTGGGAGCAAGGATAATTAATCAACTGATGTTTGTCAGGCTTCATTGCTAGTCCTGACATTAGGTGAGATCATCACAGTCTTCAAGCATGATAGTAAATAAAAACTTTCTATATTACAAAAACCCTCTAAGCTGAAGCTGAGTGATTGAGATTGGACTGTGTCATTTTTGGTACCATTCTACTGTGAGAAACCCTTTCACTGGATTTATTACAAATCCTCTACCAAATGGAGTTCATTTACCTTATACCTCATGTCTGACTTTGGTGGTTTCATCACTTTCTGTCCACTCCAGTGGCATCTATTTCCCATCATCATCACAGCTACATTTAAATTCCTTCCACAATTTTGCTTGGATAATCTGCCCTCTCCTTGATTGTTTTACTTCAGAAACCAGTCCATCAGTAGTTCCTGTGAAAGTCTGCTATCTACTAATTTCTAATTGGTATAGGCTTTCTAATGCCTTGTGCTTTATTTCACTTCACTGTGGAGACATTTTTGGACTAAAAAGTTCATTAATTGTTGTATTATTTTTTAAACCACAGTAATACTATACTAAGAGCAATATTTTTGTTTTGTCATATACTTCAAGTATTTGACTGTTATGTTCAAGTTATGAACATCCATTTAGTTAATGAGCAGTATTTTCTTTTTAACTGCAAATCAGTGCCTGCGACAACTAAAACACATATTTGTTTTACAGTAGAGTACTTCAATAATAAGTTTATAGACAAATCTGAACATCCTTTCTGTTAAAGCCATGAAGTAAAAATTGAAGATTCTTTGAGCCTAAACCACTGATATCACACATTTTAGTGGATAGAGCACTCTGCTGAGAAGTGTATTTGGACCTTTCTGGGCATTTTTAAAAAAATAGCTAAATTATAGCTTACATAGAAAAGCAAATAAAACCTACTCCAGGAGGAGATGCAAATTCATCTTCTGAATCTCACTGAAGTTTGTTAGGTACAGAGCCAGTCCTGCTTGAGGTACTTCTGAGAATACTCAGAAGCAGATGGAGATATATGAAAAAGAAAAAATTAAAAAAAATTGCCTGAAATAGTATCTAGGACATGGCATTCACGCCCCCTCTTTATTTGGGGACTTCCATGGCCTTTGGGAAGTAGTTCCAGAAGCAACATGCCAATTTTGCTGAAGTCCCACTGTCAATTGCTCCGCTCTCTGTGGAATTGAGCTCTGGGTTTTTAGGTGTCTGTTCCTATTGTCAGAATAGAGAATAGTCCATAACCCGCTGAAGTAATTTAGTCCTACAGACCTCTGTGAGCTTTGACCTTGGCCCTCTGGCGCTATATTTCCCCACACTCAGAAATACATTGCCTCACTATATTTGTATGCCTCACTTCTGGGAAATGCAGCAAGACTCTCTCTCTTGATCTTTATATAGAAATATTCTAAATTGGTGTCCTGGTTTTTCTGGAAGTGGAGCAAACAGAGAACAGCAAAGCAGGGATTTAGTAAAATTAAAGTACTTTAAGCTGAGGTATACCTAATAGGTTTAGGTTTGTACTTCTCTCTATCACTTTTTGATTTCCTTTTAGGTAGCATAAACGTTATGGTTACCTTGAAAAAGAATTTGCTTAAGTTTGGTAGTTTTACTTTAATTTAAAACCGGCAAAGAAAATGTAAAATTGTATCAGATTAAGCAAAGGATTGACAAAGTAAAATTTGGCCAAAAAGCAAGTGGGTTTCCGCTGAAGCTACAGGTAGGGCACAATGTTCAAGTTTACATGTTACTCATGGTAATTAGTGAAACCTGAGTCTTTCCCTCTTTCTCTCAAGTATGTAGTTAATAATTTGCCACTTCCTAATTATTAGAAACTTTACTTTTCATTTAGATGTATTATTGAATTAAATACAGCTTTTTTTGTTAATCTGATGCATACACTGTCCTCTTAATCAGAACTGATATATTTGCGAGTATGCAATGAAAATGCTGTTTGAATCGGCATTGCTGCCTTTTCAACTGAAAATATCTAGAAATACTGTCAGCCTCGCTAAATGCTGATGAACTGTTGACAAACAAAATGCTTGATGAGGGACATCCCGTTACCGTTGCTTGTTGGAAGCTGGGCACATAACACCAAGGGAATTGCTCAGAGTTAATTCTGCTCTTACGATGTTTTCCTAAGCATTCACTGTTCACTGTTGGAAACAAGAAAGAGGGCAAGAAAGATCTTTAATCTGACCAGAGTGTTCTTACATAGCGTACCAAAGGACTATATTTACTTTGATGTAATAACCACATGTGGCCCTCTGTGGGTTACACTCAATGCCATCCTTGGGTTTTGTGTATATTCAAATGCTGCACAAATATAAAGACCATGAATGATTATGCAGAACTACTGCTAGATACTCTGCCTGTTTAAAAAGTCAATGTGTTAAAGTTTCTTGTTCTTGGGGACATACACTCCCTCCTTATTATTCTTTTGAAAATTTACAGAGCATTTGCATATTAAAATATATTTATCTTCTCTCTCTTTGTCCAAAATATTTTGTTTTGACTGAATTTCAAACAAATGATATGCTTTTCAACCATTATGGACAGTTTGTTCTTTACATTAATTTCATTCAGGTAAGATACTGAAATAAGGTAATTTGGATTAAAGATAGTATTATTTTCTGAATTTCAGCACTGTTAACATAGTCATTATATGGCACTGTACTTAAATAAATAATTGCTGATTGTTCTGTGTATTGCAGAGGAACAGACATCTGCTGCTGGGAAACCCCAAAAAGGACTGGTAGATTCTTACCCCACGTTTCAAAGAAGAAAAACCACTCGTTTTCTTAAAATTGGAACTCCTTTCTATCAGGACAATCAGCTCCAGGTCAAAGTTTACTGGAAGAAGACAGGTTTGTCGAATTTTTATTTTACTACTATTTTTTCTAAGCAGGAACTCTCATCAACTGCCTTAGAGTTATAAAACACTGATAGAATATAATGAACCTTGTACAATCATTCAAAGTTAAATCCTACACCCATCCTTCCTTTGCTTCACCTGCACCTTAGAGTGAAATATTGCCTCTCTTTTTTGTGTTATCGATATGTAAATGTCTGGCAGAGGGAAATGATGTGAATCAGCTATCCAAAAATTACAGTCAGTCATGTTGGGACACTGAATCTTCCCAGAGCTGAGATAAATTTTAGTTTGGTGGAAATTGCTTCTGTAAAGTTTTAAATAGGCTAAACAGAATTTGGTCTTATGTTCAACAGAGCTTTTGTGACTATGAGTGTGGTTGGAGCGTCTCAAGCACATACAATTCCCGGGTGGATTTTCTGCTGATGCCACTGCAGTATTACTTGTTGGGCTTTGTCAGTTGAGAAATGAGTCGGGAAATGAATGTATATGGAAATCATGCAGTCGTGTCACAAAAACTAAACTGTAGTTTGAACCACAAAATTTAGAGTTATACTGGCTCATGTTAAGGCCACAATAGGCTTTATGCCAAACTTTATCAGCCACCTTGAATTAGAACAAGACGAATAATTGGCTACAACCAATGGAAAAACCTTTAAGTTGGTTTTCTGCTAGGCTGCAGGCACCTTCTGTTTTTCAGAAAAATCTAACAAAAACTTTATGTTTAAATCTTCCAGTCTAAAGGAAAATGCCATAAACTTTTGAGTATCTAATCAGATTCAGAAATCAAAAAAGGGATTTTCCTTTCTTGCCCTCTAGGAGCATATAGGTTGTTACACATTGCTCCAGCTTAGCTGTAACAGGTTCATACGCTCTTCTTTGAAAATGTGCTAACGCTGTTAGTGTTTTAACTTGGAGCCATCTACGCGTGTAGCAGTAGCACATGCATAAAATCCATTCAATTTCTATGTTCGAAATGAAGGGCTACAGAATGGATAATCACCTTTTCTTCTGGCATTTTTCAAAGAATTTTAGAAATATTTAAGTTCTTTTGAGTTTAGGCGTATGCAGCGCCACCCTGAACAAGGAAGGGCTATATAACCATTCAATTATGCTACGTAACATAAGAATATGTCACACTGGATGGTGTAGATTGTGAGAGGTATCTTTTACTTCTTAAAAAATGCCTGCCTGTTCGAATGGTTACCTTTCTAGCCCTGCTGTATCAAATCCTTTCAAATCAAATGCTTATTCCTCCACAAAATCTGCAAGCTTTGGCTCAGCCTGACTACATACACATTTTAAATATTTGTCCAAATCTTGGCTATGCTAGTTTTCTTTTTTCTAGCTTTCCCCATTATAATTCGTTTTTTGCCTAACTTCATGGAAAGCTGGAATAATTTAAAATTTAAATAAAAGGTAAGGCATTTTTAATTGTGAATACTCGGTTTACCTAACAATATGCTTTTGGTTATTCAAAGTGAGATTTATATATTCTGAGCCTGGGACTGATCACCTCAAGCTTTAGCCTTCTGAAAGTGAGATGTCGACTCATTGTCCAAGCTCCTTCTGTAGTCAAAAAAGAAAAGCAGGTGACTTCTGAAGCAATTCATCCCACGCAGCAGCTGAATCATTCCCCGGAGATGCCTTTCTTCCTTACTGAGTACAGAAGGGAGCCTGGACAACTCATTTGTAGAAGGCTTAGAGATGCCTAACATCTCTCTGTGAGCTGAGGTTCAGTTCTGAGCAGTTTGAACTGAAAAAAATTGAGGGACAAGGTTCAAAGATGAGGAGACCCTGATGTCTCCCACAGGTGTAAGGCTGGGTTGTGCAACTCCCAGTCTGCAGGCAGGATTCAGCCCGGTGGAGCAATCGATCCAGCTTCAGCCCTTTTCCTGCCAGCCTGTTTCCAGAACAAAGATTATGTGTCCTATGGCCAAAATGCCAGCCCCCCTAGTGAAATGCACTTTACAAGTAGTTTTCCAAACTCACTGCTACAGTTAATGGAGGAAAAATCATGACCTGTACAGCAATATTCATCTCGTTCCAGAGTGGATAGCTTGAACTAGGTGTCCACTAATTATAATGGTAACTTGGTTATCAAGTAGAAGTTACACAGCAGTTACTTGAATCTGGAGCTGATTACATATCTGTTACATACCTGGAAGTAATATTTGTAGTAAAAGTTATAAATGCCTATAAAAAGAAATCAGGTAGTCAGCGTTCTCATAGTGGCCGAGAAAAGAGGTAATTAAGATTAAATGAAGTCAGGGAATATTTTATAGCTTGGAAATAACAGTGTTTGGAAGTGGCGTAATCTCCACAACTGGAGATCTTCAAAGGCAGATATGGACCAGATCCGTTAGAAGTGACATGGATTTACGTCCCGTCACCTTGTGCCGGGGGTGGACGGGTTTTGTTCCCGCGTTGCTGACTGTACAGCTGACCCATCTCGTACAAATCTGCGTACCTCCCGTCGAATAAGGGGGACGCCCAGAGGTCCCCGTGGGTCGCGTGGTGGGAGCGAGCTGTCACAGGCACCGGGGCGCTTCGGTACGTGCCCCGGCCATGCAGTGGAAATTGCCTTCGTTTCTCTCACATAACCAACAGTGATAGCGAAGGTGTGTGAAGAGGGGCAGAATACGGCAGTTTGTCACGCTTACTTTTTTTTCTTTTCTGTTTTAAAAAGAAAATAGCTGTGTTCTGAGTAACAGCATGTGCAGTAACTCAGCAGGAGCCATTGCCTCATGTGGAACTGAAATATAGCAGCTACCTGCTCCTGGGAACCTAGCAGCTTCTATAAGCTCTTACAGGAGTCTGAGGTTATGTAGTCTATGGATGAGGTACTGACTATAAATTTACTAGTGACAATTTACTGCAGAGCGAGTCTTTTTTGCCGCGCAAGGAGCACAGCAGGAGAAGCATATTGGCTGCGTCTTGTCCGTATGAAAGACAGCAGTTACCGGAGCCAGCTGCGTCGGGAGCTGTACCCACACGTCTTTCTCCTTTATGAGCTGCGCCGTCTCAAGTCGTGTTTAGGGAGCTGTAGGAGGTATAAGAGTGCAGCAACTGAAATGGGAAATACTGAGAGAGAACTTACCTCAGCCTACTCTATGGCCTAGCGTCTGGGCTATTTTCATTGCAGATGGGCAATCAGAGTTCAAATCCTTCCTGACAAGGAATTGACCTCTTTGTCTTCTGTGTGGTGGGTGAAAACAGGAGTCCCTGTTGATTGCTCTCATATTCTCATTATTTTGTAGTTTTCTATTAAAAACATTTTTAATACATTAAAACATTGAAAAAAATTTTTTGGTACAGGAACACAGCCATTCTATAGTCCTAAATTAGGATGTGTGACTTTAAAACAAATAGAAATTAAGAAAATATCATGAAACCATGTGAAATAAATTGATAATGGTAAGAGTTCCCATGACATAAAAAATAGTTTAAGAAATACGAGTGTCAAGCCTGAATATGTTGGACATCTCTAAATCAAGCAAAATTTCAATTGGTTGTAGCAATCTTTGCTTTGTCTGGTTTGATTTTTAAGTTTTTCTGTACTTTCTGTGATGGACTTCATAGTCCTAACAAGAGATGGTTACAGTGGTGATGAAGTAGATATGTTATTTAGATTTTGGATTTTTTTAAGATTAAGACATTTAAAGCAGTATGGTATGTTGATGTACAGTGTCTTTTAGCTGTAATGAAAACTTTAACAACTACTAAACCAGCAGTCTTTCACTTTATAAGAACGTTACTCATTTTCTATGGTAATAGCTGCTCAGAAATTTTTGTCGTATTCCTGAATTCAGTGGCCCTACCATTCGCCTTAGACCTGAGAGTATTTTTTTTTGTTTTTAATTCTGTCCAAAACCAAGATGGCTCTATAGAAGAATTTTGTACTGCCTCCCAACACTGTAGCCTCACAGCGCACCAGAGATTACAGAAACAAACACAAGGAAAGACTTGTGTGGATTTCTTGCAGTCTCAGACCACTTAAGAAACACATTGTGTTCATAAGGTTGTTTTAGATTATTACTTTACTTTCATTGGTCCCTATGTTAGCTGAGAAATTGTTTTGCTTTTGAATTTGAACCAATTTACTCTCTCTAAAAAGGACAAAATAGAGTTAGAAGGGACCTCTGGAGGTCAGCTGGTCCAACCACCTGCTCAAAGTAGTACCCTGAAGTTAAATCAAGTTGTTCAGTCCTACCTGTACGGCCCTATAACAGATGTTGTTATTGTTTTCTGAATGACAGGGAATTTGTCCTTTATGAATATCAGGCTGCAGAGGCCACCTGGCAGTTTATTGCAATGTACCTTAGGATCTCCAGAATGTACGGTGATGTCTCTCGGCATTCAAAGCTAGTTCTTCCTTACTACGAAGAAGACGTATTCCCCCGTGTCATTTGCAGATGTGCCTCTAGGAAGCCAGGGAAAGACCACAATGACGACATCGGGGCTGGAGCTCTTGATTTTCTATCATCCCTCTGGATAGAATTCATCAGACCTCTGTCCTGTGCAACAACTGCAATAGAGGGGGTGTTGCAAACTATTACTGAGCTGGCTTTGTTATACAGTAAAGAAGTGATTGCTTATCAGTACTCAGAAACTGAACACAGTGTTTGAGTTAAAGTCTGAGTAAGTGGATGGAAGATCCTATTTCCATATGTGTGCATCGTAACGTGCCACAGTTTGGTAGCCAGAAAGACTTAGCTAGGCCTGTTCTTCAAATGTCATTTCTTAAGTCCCATCAGCTTCGGTAAGCATGAGGCATGAATGGAATGTAGGATCTGGACTTCATATTAAAATAAATCTCTTTCCAAATTAATCTTTCAGTTTGAATGCTTCGGTATGATGGCAATAATAACTTTACTTCAGGATGTATGCTAGCAAAAAGAACTCCACACTTCAAGCGGTACAAGGTGCTTAGCAAATGCACATAATTTTGCTAGACAGAGTCATCACAAAAGCATATTGCAATTATATGAATAC